TAGTAGTAGTAGTAGTAGTAGTAGTAGTAGTAGTAGTAGTAGTAGTAGTAGTAGGCAGTAGTAGTAGTAGTAGTAGTAGTAGTAGTAGTAGTAGTAGTAATAGTAGTAGTAGTAGTAGTAGTAGTAGTAGTAGTAGTAGTAGTAGTAGTAGTAGTAATAGTAGTAGTTAGTAGTAGTAGTAGTAGTAGTAGTAGTAGTAGTAGTAGTAGTAGTAGTAGTAGTAGTAGTAGTAGTAGTAGTAGTAGTAGTAGTAGGATTAGTAGTAGTAGTAGTAGGCGTAGTAGTAGCAATAATGATAGTCGTAGTCGTAGTCGTAGTCGTAGTCGTAGTCGTAGTCGTAGTCGTAGTCGTAGTAGTAGTAGTAGTAGTAGTAGTAGTAGTAGTAGTAGTAGTAGTAGTAGTAGTCGTAGTCGTAGTCGTAGTCGTAGTCGTAGTCGTAGTCGTAGTCGTAGTCGTAGTAGTAGTCGTAGCCGTAGTAGTGTCGTAGTAGTAGTAGTAGTAGTAGTAGTAGTAGTAGTAGTAGTAGTAGTAGTAGTAGTAGTAGTAGTAGTAGTAGTAGTAGTAGTAGTAGTTAGTAGTTAGTAGTTAGTAGTTAGTAGTAGTAGTAGTAGTAGTAGTAGTAGTAGTAGTAGTAGTAGTAGTAGTAGTAGTAGTAGTAGTCGTAGTAGTAGTAGTAGTAGTAGCAGCAGCAGTAGCAGTAGTAGTAGAAGTAATAAGTAGTAGTAAGTCGTAAGTAGTAGGTAGTAATAGTAGTAGTCGTAGTCGTAGTAGTAGTAGTAGTAGTAGTAGTAGTAGTAGTAGTAGTAGTAGTAGTAGTAGTAGTAGTAGTTAGTAGTAGTAGTAGTAGTAGTAGTAGTAGTAGTCGTAGTAGTAGTAGTAGTAGTAGTAGTAGTAGTAGTAGTAGTAGTAGTAGTAGTAGTAGTAGTAGTAGTAGTAGTAGTAGTAGTAGTAGTAGTAGTAGTAGTAGTAGTAGTAGTAGTAGTAGTAGTAGTAGTAGTAGTAGTAGTAGTAGTAGTAGTAGTAGTAGTAGTAGTAGTAGTGGCCCCCCGCCCCGCCCACGGCCGAGGAGGAGCCTGCGGGCGACGGCGCGGGGGCGGAGCCGCAGGAGAGCGGGGACCTGTGGGGCGGCGGGGGCGGCGCCGCGCCCTCCACCCGCGGCGCCATCGGGCAGGCGGGGGGGGCCGAGGAGGAGGAGGAGGAGGAGTATCGAGGAGGAGGAGGAGGAGGAGGAGGAGGAGGAGCACAAGGAGGAGGAGGAGCAGGAGGAGGAGGAGGAGCAGGAGGAGGAGGAGGAGGAGGAAGAGAGCAAGGAGGAGGAGGAGGAGGATCGAGGAGGAGGAGGATCGAGGATGATGATGATGAGGATGATGATTTGGCCAAGAGCAGAACCCATCCTCAGAGTCGGAGGCATGGCAGAAAGCTCTCCAGCAGTGGCTGGCGCTAGGAGGAAAGTTCCGTAGTCAAGAGAGAACCGGTCCTGGTGATGCCAGCGGTCTTCTGCTTACCAGCGGTCGTGAGGGAACCGGTCTTAGCGATCCCTGTAATAGTTTTCGGCCGTACCTCGGGGAGTGCATCCTTGGGTACTTCCTTGGGTGCATCAGTGGGTATTTCCTCATGCTCATCCTTGGGTATTTTTTGGGGCACCTCCCTGGGTACCTCCTTGGGTGCCTCCTAGGCTACCTCCTCGGGTGCCTCCGTGGATACCTCCTTGGATACTTCCTTGGGTACTCTTCGGGGCTCTCCGCCGCCCTCGTGTCCTCCTCCTCCCCGGACACCTCCAGGGGGGGAGGAGGATCGAGGCTCGCAGGTCGAGGCCTGGGGATCCTCGCGATCGTGCCGCCTCGGGTCCGCCGACCCACGCGTGCTGCCCCCACTGGTGGTTGGCCGGAGACCTCCAGGGAGGGAGGGGGAGTCGAGCTTCGAGGGTCGGGGCGCCCGGCGTGCGACCGGGGCTCGAGGGGGCAAGGTCGAGAGGAGGACGAGGGAACGGGGCGTGGAGGGCGGCTCGTGGAGAGCTGGGGGCGGCTCGAAGCGGGAAGAGGGTGGGGGGGAGCGGATCGAGGCGGCGAGGGGCGCGCGCGGGGGCGGCGCAGGAGTGAGCAGCGCGAAGGGGGAGGGGCAGTCCGAGTGCACTCCGCCGATCGGGCCCTGGGGCCAGGGGGGGAAAGGGAGGCGCAGCGCGCCGCCACGTGCGCGTCCGAGCGGGCGGGCTGATCGGGGCCGTCAAGTGCCCTGCCCTCGTCGGCCACGAGACCGGGAGAAGGCGGCGTCGCGGCGTCGTTCCCATGCCGGAGCGAGGGGAGGGCCAGGCGCACTGACCGACCAGCCAGGGCTGCCAGCGGGCCGCCTCTGCACAGTCGTTGGATGCCAGCAGGGGTTGACAGGGGGAGGCCCCTCCTCGCAGGCTTGCGCTGCGGCTGCGTGCTGACGGGGGCGAGCCCTGGCCAGTAACCCACCGTGAAGGCGAAGCAGGAGCGATTGGCGCACTACATTTGGGCACGCCTGCGGCGGTAGCCCTCGGGGGGCACCGCGCAGGGGGTGGGACAGGAGGAGGGGGTGGGGTCAGCGGAACGGGGGAGGTGCAGTGGGCGAAGGGCAGGAGCTGGGGTGAGGCCGCGGAGCGGGCGAGGCGGGCGGGCAGGGCAAGGGGGAGCTGGTGTGCCTGGATTATGCGTGCAGCACGTGGGAGGGGCAGACTTGGCGCATGGCGCGCCGCCCCTGCGTGGAGCGTGTCGCGTCCGAAGCTGGTCGCGGCCAAGACTTGCCAGGTGCTGAGCCAGGTCGATAGAGGAGGGGTGTGCCTGACAGCCCAGGGGAGGGCGCCTGCTCGACAACGCAGAGGGGGCGCCCACTGGTCACTAGAATCCAGAGCCCAGAGGGGGGCGCCTACTGGACAACCCAGAGGGGGGCGCTTATGTGACAGGCCAGAGGAAGGCGCCTACGTGACAACCCTCCGGCACTCTTACTCGACAAGTCCGATGCCGAAGGGCCTGCATATGACAGAAAAGCCCCTGCATATAATGCGTCGCGTTGAAGCCTCGATAACTGGAGCATGATACGCACCACTCTTGGCCGTTCTACGCACCCTCTTCGGCCCTCTTGAATCTCTCTTGGGACCCACTTGGAGCACTCAGCGACGCCCGAAGTGCCCGCGTATAACAAAAAAAACGCCGGGTGTATAACGCGTCGGGCGGCGGCTTCCGAAGCTCTGGCATTATGCGCACCTTGCTGGGCTGTTCTACACAGCCCTGCGGGCGTGTGGGCAGGCCCGAAAAAAACCCACCATGGGTTGCCAGCCCCCAACTGGAGAGAGAGAGAGAAAGAACAACACAAAAAACAAAAAAATGGGCGGGCGATCGGAGGGCTTCGGAGCGGGGAGGAGTGGGGAGGGGGGGGAAGAGGAGGCGGGCGTGCTGTGGGTAGGGGCGCGAGGGGGGTGGGGCAGCAGGCGTGAAGGATGCGGCCCTCTCAGGGCCAAAGGGGAACAGCACTGACGACCCCCCCTGGCCTGTGGGGCACCGCCCCTGGTCTGGGCGCCTCGCCGGCGCGCCCCTGCAACGGATGACGGGCCCTCGTCGGCCCCGCTCGGGGCTGTGCTCTCCGAGCGGGGGTCGGGAGTCTCTTGGGGCCAAGGGGGAACAGCCCTGACGACGCCTCCTCCTTCTCCTCCTCCTCCTCCTCCTCCGCCTCCTCCTCCTCCACCCTCCACCCTCCTCCTCCTCCTCCTCCTCCTCCTCCTCCTCCTCCTCCCTCCTCCTCCTCCTCCTCCTCCTCTCCTCCGCCTCCCCCCCCTCCTCCTCCTCCTCCTCCTCCTCCCTCCTCCTCCTCCTCCTCCTCCTCCTCCTCCTACTCCCTCCCCTCCTCCTCCTCCTACTCCTCCTCTCTCCTCCTCCTCCTCCTCCTCCTCCTCCCCTCCTCTTCCTTCTCCTCCTCCCTCCTCCTCCTCCTCTCCTCCTCCTCCTCCTCCTCCTCCTCCTCCTCCTCCCTCCTCCTCCTGCTCCTTCTCTCCTCCTCCTCCTCCTCTCCTCCTCCTCCTCCTCCTCCTCCTCCTCCTCCTCTCCTCCTCTCCGCTCATCTCCTCTCCTCCTCCTCCGCCTCCTCCTCCTCCTCCTCCTACTCCTCATCTCTCCTCCTCCTCCTCCTCCTCCTCCTCCTCCTCTTCCTCCTCTCCTCCCTCCTCCTCCTCCTCCTCCTCCTACCTCCTCCTCCTCCTCCTCCTCCTCCTCTCCTCCTCCTCCTCCTCATCCTCCTCCTCTCCTCCTCCTCCCTCCTCCTCCTCCCACCTCCCTTCCCTCCCTCCTCCCCTCCTCCCTCCTCCTCCTCCCTCTCCCTCCCTCCCTCCTCCCTCCTCCTCCTCCTCCTCCTCCTCCGCTCCTCCTCCTCCTCCTCCTCCTCCTCCTCCTCCCTCCCTCTCCTCCTCCTCCTCTCCTCCTCCCCTCCCTCCTCCTCCTCCCCTCCTCCCTCCTCCTCCTTCTCTCCTCCTCCTCCTCCTCTCCTCTCTCTTCCTCCTCCTCCTCCTCCCTCGCCTCTCCTCTGACCCGTGGGGCAGCGCCCCTGCCCAGCTACGGGGGGCCACGGCGAGCCCTGCCCCTACCCCCCACGATTTCTGAGGGGGAGGGTGGGTTCACTTCGCTCGGGAGCTCCCGAGCGAAGCGACCCCCCCCCTCCCCCCTCAGAAATCGTAGGGGGTAGGGTTAAGTCAGAAAGTATGGTTAATTCGCTCGGGAGCTCCCGAGCGAAGCGAACCCCGCCCTCCCCCTCAGAAACCGTGGGGGGTAGGGGTAGGGCTCGCACGTGGCCCCCTACAGGCGCCTCCGCGGCGCACCTCGTCAGCATGGTGGCGGCCCTCGGAGGCCTGGGGCGGGGGGCCCCAGACGGGGGGGTCTCTTGGGGCCAAGGGCTGTGGAGGACAATCAATGGGGAGGAAGCGTGCTGCCAAGTCATTTTCCAGACGTCCCAAACACGTCTTAAGCACGTTTTAAGCATGCTTGAAGCATATTTGAGGCATGCCTAGAACAACGGTCCTACATTTGAAACACATTTAGAATTCAAGGATAGGACTGTTAGGGTGTCCATTGTCGTGGCGTCCACTAGCCAAACGGCCCTAACGACCCCCCCTGGCCTGTGGGGAAGCGCCCCTGGTCCAGGCGCCTCCGCGGCGCACCTCCGCACCGGGGGAGGGCCACAGCCCTGACGGCCCCCCTTGGCCTGTGGGGCAGCGCCCTTGGTCCGGGCGCCTCCGCGGCGCACCTCCGCAACAGGAGAAGGGCTCTCGTAGGCCCCGCTCGGCGCGGCGAGCTCCGAAACTGGGACCTCCTAGGGCCAGCGGGGAGCAGCCCTAACGACCCCCTCGACTTGCGGGCCAGCGCCCCTGGCCCAAGCGCCTGGGCGGCGCGCCTCCGCAACAGAAGAGGGGTCCATATTGGATAGACGGACGGGGGCAAGGGCGGAGGCGCGGAGGAGGGAGGAGGAGGAGGAGGAGGAGGAGGAAAAGGAGGAGGAGGAGGAGGAGGAGGAGGAGGAGGAGGAGGAGGAGGAGGGGAGGAGGAGGAGGAAGAGGATGAGGAGGAGGAGGGAGGAGGAGGAGGAGGAGGAGGAGGAGGAGGAGGAAGAGGATCACCCTGCCGCTCCTCCCTGGCCTTGGCCCACTGTTCCAAGTACCAGGCGCCCCCAAATGTTTCGTCTCGGCCTCCAATGCGGTCGCCGCTTGACCTGGATCCGCAACCGGTGGCGGATGTTGTATACACCTGGTCGGAGAAGGAGGAGGAGATGGAGGAGGAGGAGGAGGAGGAAGAGGAGGAGGAGCAGGAGGAGGAGGAGGGGGAGGAGGAGGAGCCATGCCCTCTTCATAGGTCCCTGCAAGGATCTAGTTTCACTGAGGGAGGTACCCTGTTGGAAGACAACCGTGTGAAAATCCTCAGCCGTGCCAAAACCATTCCTGGGACTTCAACGCCGCGAATCGACGTCACTGTTGCGCCCTGACGATTCTGGATCTTGCTAGAGCAGTGTTCCTGGGACGTCAGCACTGCGAATCAACGTGACTGTTGCGCCCTGGCAGTCCAGCATCATGCCGAAACACCGTTTCGGGGACGTCAGTCATAACATGCTGCTGTAAATTCTCGCGACGCTCGTGCGCGGCAGGAGCGCCCTCCCTCAGAAACTCTTGCAACTGTTTGGGGCGAATGCGATCGGCGCTAAGGCGAGAGCCATTTTTAAACGGACTCGCCCCGCATCCGTGGCACTGCTGGGAAGTTTGAGCTTCGGGATCATGACCGGTGATAAAGTCTCATGGCGCCACCATCGCAGAGCGGATTGTATTTGGAAAACAACAGCGTGGGCCCAGAGTGTCCTGGATCATGTCGTTCCGGATGTCGACGTGCAATTCGTGCGGTTTTGGGGGGGCCAAGAATGAAGATTAACAGACATCCACGTGAAAGTCTTTTCGTGTTTCGCTCGCCGCTTCGGGTTTCTGCGTTGACAGAAATCCACGCCAAAAGTCCGCTGGAGCACGTCTGCAAGGTCGGTGCAGTGAAGAGTCTCGGGCGAAACGCCCGGCCGGCCCCCTGAGCCGCCCTGCCGACCTGCCTTCGGGTGCGACAGGGAGGAGCTATGCACAAGAGAAACGGATGAAGGAGGAGGCGGAGGAGGAGGAGGAGGAGGAGGAGGAGGAGGAGGAGGAGGAGGAGGAGGGAGGGAGGAAGCGGAGGCAGAAGAGGAGGAGGACGACGAGGAGCATGCGGAGGCGGAGGAAGAGGAGGAGGAGGAGGAGGAGGAGGAGGAGGAGGAGGAGGAAGAGGAGGGAGGAGGAGCAGCAGCAGGAGGATATGGAGTCCGTTCCCGCTTCCAGTGCGCAAGCAGAACAATGCGTAGCATAGCATCGAGTCTTTCCCGCCCCTCGTTCTCGTCCTTTTCCCCTTCCTTCTCCCCCGCCTCCTCATCCTCATCATCAGCATCATCATGATCAGCATCATCATCATTGTTACTTTCCATATCTCCTCTCTCTCCCTCTCTTTGCTCTCTCTCTCTCTCTAGATGTGCATGTTTTATCGTTCTCCCCCCCTCTCTCTCTTTGTAGACTTGCAGTGTTCTTGATGTTTCCCATTTCTGTGTTGCGGTTTGCTGTCTCTCTCTCTATCTCTCTTTCTCCCCCCTGATCCTCCTCTCGATGTACCAGGAACGCTATCTGGAGGCAGCCTGGGACTTTCACGGCTGTTGGCTCTCTTGCCTCGAGATTGCCGGGGTGTTGTCTTTGAGGTTGCCCACGGGCTTGCGTGGATCCAGATCTCTCCCGCCCCCCGAGAAAGCAGCATATTCGTGAGGACGGCGGGGAGGAGCCGAAGGAGGACGCCAAGATGGAGGCTGCCGAGGACGCCGATCCCAAGGACAAGTCCACGGAGCAGGCCGAGCCGGAGGCCTGGGGAGGTGGGGGGGCCATCGGCGGCCATCAGAGGAGGAACACATACCGATGCCGCTGCTCTTCGCCCGTTTCCCCCCTCTGTGGGGACTCCGGGGAGGCCGTCGTCGCCAGCGCTGGATTCGCCTCGAGATCCTGGTCAGCACGCACCCCGGGGAGAGGTCCGGGGAGCACCGGCAGGAGTACTTCTTGATCTCCCCAGGGGGAGGGGGGGTGGACAGGGGCCACGGGCGGGCCGAATACAGGCGCCCCCGAGAGGCGGAGATCACGAGCCCCCCATGTTGCACGAGCCTGCTCTCTCGGGGAGGTATCCCGCCACTCGTCGGGGAGGAGGGAGGAGGAGAAAAGAGGGGGGGGAGGAGGGGGGGGGAGGGGGGGATGGAGCGGAGGAGCCCGGGGAGGGGGGCGGCGCAGTAGCAGAGGGAGGAGGAATAGGGAGAGGAATCGGAGAAGCACCAAAACGATGTCTATTGAAACAACCCTCTCACCGAGCTCCACGGGGACGGCGCCGACAAGGATGAGAGACATGACGAACGCGTCCGCGTCAACCACAGATGAGCGTGTATGAAAAGTGCGCGTTTACCCGATTCAGCTGCTTGCGGCAAGTCCCGCCGCCGTGCTAGCCCAGCATTCTCGGTGGCGACTGTTCGAGGGGGCACGGGAGGCCGTCACGTGTGACATCTCGTGTCTTCTGGCATTATGGGAATCATGTGGATGATGGAAGTGATGTTGATGACGACGACGACCACAACGGTGATGGTGTTCATGATGATGGTGATGATGATAATGATGTTGATGCTGATCTGATGATGATGCTGCTGATGATGATGGTGTTGGTGTTCTGATGCTGTGGTGATGATGCTGACGATGGATGTGATGGCCAGGACGATGATGGCTGTGATGCTGATGATGATGATAAAGGTGATGATGACGATGCTGATGATGCTGATGATGATGATGTTGCTACTGCTGGTGCTGGTGTGTTGATGGTGTTGACGTTGATGATGATGCTGCTGATGATGGTGACGGCGGTGATGGTTATGATTATGATTATTATATGTGTTGTTATCATGATACTGTTGATGCTGCTGATGATGATGATGATGATGATGATGATGATGATGACGATGCTGTTCGTGGTGGTTGTGGTGGTGAAACTCGTTTTGGTTGTCTTGGGGCTATCTTGCCTCCTGTGAGGCAATCTTGGGGCTTCCGTGGGGCATGGGGTCGTCTTTGGGCCGTCTTATGCCTGCTGGGGGCTCTCTTGGGCCGTATTGGGGCCCATTTGGCCGCATGGTGGGTGTCTGGGGCCGTCGTGGGGCCGTTTCGGCGCTGTCTTGGGCCGTCGAAGGGCATGCTAAGGCCATTTTGGGTCCCACGGGAGGCCCTCTTGAGCCGTCTTGAGGCCGTCTTGGATGCCTCTTGGGCCATTGTGGAGTCCTCGTGGGCCGTCGTGAGCTGACGGCAGCCCGAAAAGGCGAGAATGAAAAACGCATTCCAAAATCCAAGGGGAATCCATGAGTTTGGTTTCTTCGGACTTTGTTGGAGATTCTCTTGTAGCCATTTTGGGCCCTCTTGGAGGCACCTTGGGCCGTCTTGAACCAATATGCCGCCTTGGGGCCATCTTGGGCCGTGTTCGAGTCATCTTGGGCCATCTCGGTGTTTTCGCTTACCTGCACGCTCCGCCTCGGAAGCTCGGGACGTATATCAATTATCCGTAAGGGCTTCGCCCCCTGCCGCCGGCCCCCTCTCTCGGAGAATGGACCATGGAAGAGCTAAGTCATGAGGCTTTGGCGTTGTCGTGCAGCAGTATCGGAACTTCATGCGAGGCCGATTCGCAATCGGCAAAACCAACTGATCACAAGAGGGGTTACCACACAGGGCGATTGGTAAGACGTGTATGGTTTACGAGCTTGGTTACCACACCTTGGGATTAAAGGGCCGAGGGAGTACTCGCAGTTTGGGTTACCACGCCTTGCGATGGATGTGCGTGAGGGGTGGCACCGAATTTCAGAAATGTGGCAAATCCCCTGTGTTTTTGGACCCTGACCCCGCGGATCTGCGTGAGGGGTGGCACCGAATTTCAGAAATGTGGCAAATCCCCTGTGTTTTTGGACCCTGACCCCGCGGATCTGCGTGAGGGGTGGCACCGAATTTCAGAAATGTGGCAAATCCCATGTGTTTTTGGACCCTGACCCCGCGGATCTGCGTGAGGGGTGGCACCGAATTTCAGAAATGTGGCAAATCCCGTGTGTTTTTGGACCCTGACCCCGCGGATCTGCGTGAGGGGTGGCACCGAATTTCAGAAATGTGGCAAATCCCTGTGTTTTTGGACCCTGACCCCGCGGATCTGCGTGAGGGGTGGCACCGAATTTCAGAAATGTGGCAAATCCCCTGTGTTTTTGGACCCTGACCCCGCGGATCTGCGTGAGGGGTGGCACCGAATTTCAGAAATGTGGCAAATCCCATGTGTTTTTGGACCCTGACCCCGCGGATCTGCGTGAGGGGTGGCACCGAATTTCAGAAATGTGGCAAATCCCTGTGTTTTTGGACCCTGACCCCGCGGATCTGCGTGAGGGGTGGCACCGAATTTCAGAAATGTGGCAAATCCCTTGTGTTTTTGGACCCTGATCCCGCGGATCTGCGTGAGGGGTGTCGATTTCGAGCCCCCCCAGCAATTCAGACAACGCGCCCAGGGAGTGCTAAAAGTCTTGTTTGGGCCTCCCCCCCCTCGCGCGGTCAGTCAACTAGTTACAGTTACCAGCAAGAAGCAGAACTGTAACACTGGAAACTACAAGCTACAACTGGTACTGGAAACTGCGAACCCGCGCCTACAGCCTGGTGGCCCCACAAGGGGGCCGGCGGATTTGTAGCAAGGGATCGTGGCTTGGGAGGCCCTCGAGCGCTTGTGAGCAGCGCCTGTGAATGCGGAAATGCATGATCCTCGAGCTGGTGCGCGTGGGATGAGGGGTCTTGGAGTTAGCAGCCATGCACAATCCTCGAGTGGGCGAGCATGGAAGGATGGTTCAGGCATTGGCTGCCATGCCGGAGGTGCACCATCCTCGAGCAGGCACGCGTCTAAGGGTGGTGCAGGCGTTAGCTGCCATGCTGGGAATGCACAATCCTCGAGCGGAGGGCTCAGGCGTCCGCTGCCATGCTGGAAGTGCACCATCCTCGAGCGGGCGCGAGGGAAGTGGCCCCAGAAAGGAGGGGCGGTGCACGCAAGAGTCTGAGAGTAGGGAGGTGGAGGATCCCATGCTCGAATTCAGAAGGAAAACCCTTCCAGGCAGGCCCTGGCATTCTTCCACGCCCCAACGCGCCAGGGGGCACGGTTGCGGATTGCATATCCTTCCGCCTTCCAGTTCGTGTTTTGCGCTCGCATGCCTCGGCGCTCGGAATTGCTACCAGCGCCGTCGCCGGCGAATGGCCGAGCGACAGGGACGGGCCGCACCGATGTTATCTCGCCACCGCCGCGGAGTCCTGGAAGGGGACGCCCAGGGCCAGGGCAGCCGCCAGCGTTGGCCGTTCGGAGGGCGGAACGACCGGATGATCCCGCAGCGCCTGGGCGTGCTGCAGAACAGGAGGGGTCCCGCGCTGAGAGGGTGTCGGCAGCCATGCTTCCAGGCGCAGGAGTGGCGACGAGCCAGCGTCTCAATCAGCAGACGGAGCGTCCTGCGAGAGCCCTGCTCTGCGCAAGCGCCGTCCTCGCTTCCAGTGCGCAGCAGTCCGGTCGGAGCCCCAGGGATGCCTCCGGCGGGGGCCCCGAGTCTGAAACGGCGCCGCCCTGCGTCTTTGCAGCTGCCGCATACACTCCGCTCCCTGGCTGTAGATGTAAGTCGGGCCTGTCCCTCCACAGGAGGAAAATCCAAGAGTCATGGGAGGATTGTTGGAGCGTTTTTGTCGCCATTTTGGAGCATTTCTTATTTGTTTTAGTTTTTCATCCGAGGTGCCCCTGTAGGGGGACAGGCCCGACTTAACTGTAGATATATCAGGAGTATCATGCGAAAGGTTTTGGTGGAACAGGAGCCGCCCTCCGCCCGGGCATATGGTTGTAATAAGCTTGCAGGACGATGGTGTGCGGCGCTCTGGCGAGGGCCGCAGTTTGAACACGCGCACCCATCCATCCACCGAACAGTTGGAAGCTTTGGGACGAATAGGCGTCGCGCCAAGACGGGAGGTACATTGAGAACACGGCACCCTCTCCACCCGTGTAGTTGCTGGAATCGTTTAAGACGAATGCGCGCCACGCTGAGGTGAACGCCACGTTTTGAACACTACCCCACCTCCACCCGCGTAACTGCTAGAACATCCAACGACGAGCGCACCTGGCATGAAGGGTAGGGCCACATTCTGAAATAGAGCCGCCTCTGTAGGCGCTCTGGCGAGAGCCACATTTTGAAAACGATCAAACCTCCATCGGTGTACTTGGTGCAATATTTGAAGTCGTGCGCGTTGCTACGGGGACAGCCACATGTTGAAGACGGCCCTCTCCGCCCGTGTGATTTGTGATTGTTGGAAGTTGTAAAGAGGAAGTTGGGCGGCGATGAGGCGAGAACTGCATTTTGAAAACGACACCCCCCATTCACAGTCCTCCCACCTCCTCCCCGTTCTCCTCCCCCCTCCCCTCTCCAACCTCCTTTCCCTCTCTGTACCCTCCTCTCTCTCTACGTATATATCGGAGGTTGGGGGGTTGACATCGCAGTGAAACGAAGACCCCCCACCGGGAAATCGGTTTCGGTTTCGTGTTCGTGTCGTGCGTGCGGGCGAGGCGAAGTTGCGCGTGATCCTCCTGTAGCTAGGCCGAAGTAGGAGCGGAAGTCCGTTCCCGTCCGCGGGTGGCTGGGAGGTGTTCCAGTTGGGCCGGCCAGTGTCCCGGGTGTCCCGGGTGTCCGGGGCGTCCCGGCGCTAACGCATGTCGCGAATTTCATGTTTCATTTTTTTCGGCGCCTGCGGCGGGCTTTCTTACCCAATCCAGCTTATCTTCTCCAATCCATCTTG